AAAAAAGAGATTTTTTTTTTTTTTGCCGTTATCCAATGACTCCTGGAGCTGCCTGGTGTGTTTTTCCGCAGTCGCGTTGATGCTTATGGGAAGGCAGGGAGGAAGCACGGAGGTGGGAGGACATGGAGGGACATGGAGTAATTAATGTGGCTGGTTAATTTTTAAGCGGCTGGAAGGTGGTTGTGGGGTGTTGAGCCTTGGGCAGGAGCTGGCCGAGAGCCCTGTCACCCCCAGATCGCTTATGTGTCTGCATAAATATATATATATATATGTAATATATGTAATATATGTGACATGGGTGTTCTGTGATGTTCTCAGCTCGGATTTGGTCCGTGGTGCTTGGCACGATGTTTTGGTGCTTTCCACTCCTGGAGGATGTGACAAAATGTCACAGAAACCGCAGAAAATACCCCAAAAAGCAGCTTAGGAGGGCTCAGCCGGGAAGGGCTGTGGAAACTGCCCGCGTGCAGGGAGGATGGAGCAGGACCCGGCGCCGCGAGGTGCCGCGTCCCGGGCTGAGCACCCCGGCGTAGCAGCCAAGGGTTGTTTATCTCCTCTCCTTTAATCAGATCAGTTGTTTCACATGTTCTGGAGCTATTTCGTAGGGCTTGATTAAATCGCGAAGCTGCTGCTGTATTGGACATCGGTAGCTCTGCGGGGTCAGAAGGACCAGGCCACGGAGCGGCTCCTGGGAACATCCGGAACATCCGGAACATCTGCTCCAGCAGAGGAGGCCGCGCGGCCTCTCCGGACACATTCCCAAGCCCCGGCCCAGCCCTGGGGACGTCTTCCACGGGCAGCTGCCCTCCTGCGCCTCCTCCCAGTGCATGGAGGGGTCCGGAGGGTCCTGGCAGATCTGCCCACAGTCCATGGTTGGATCACGTGCAGCTCCAAGCTTGTTGCGCCGCCTCATAGTGTGGTAGCGCGCTGATGTTGAGACCGGAGATAAGAGGAGATCCCCTCCTTGCTGAGGCCCTGTGGGTTCCTCGTGCTCCAGGGGGGTCTCCTTCCCACGGAAGCGCTCTGGGTCTGGCCAAGCCTGGGGTGCCAGTGGGGAAACGGCTCCTTCAAACACTAACGCGCTCGGGGGAGAGCAGGGTTTGATCCCAGGAACCTGCAGACTGCAGCCGTGGAGGTGTGGGGAGCTGGGCACGGCTCCGTGGAGCTCGTGGCGCCTCCAGCTCCTGCCCGGCGGTGCCACGTGGGTCGGGAACGCCGCTCCGCGCTGCTGCGGCGCTGGGTGGCCCTTATGGAGACGTGTCCTGGTCCCGCTCCGGTGCGAGCCCGAGGGCCCTGCTGAGACATGGGCAGCCTGGGGAGCATCTGGGGCGGTGACAGAACCGGCCCTAGGGCAGCTTGTTGGCTGTCCTGACTGAGCTCTCTGTCTTGAGGGGCTGGGGGAGCCGGGGGCACGCGGGATCCTCCGAAGGCATCCCGGGATTGGCCCCATCCATGCTCCTCCGTGAGCCGTGACTCGGAACGCCAACCTGGAAACACTTGGGGCTGGTGCTGGGAAACTGCAGGGACAGCCAGTGTCCCTCCTTTCCGTCCAAATCCCAGACAGCTTCGTGACACAGGAGTGGAGCTGGGGGAAGGAGCCTGGTGCCCAGGGCTGGAGATCTTGGGGCAGGAAGGGGAGAAAACATGGAAAATTCACCAAGGGTGAGCGATGGGGGTCTCTAAAGCACGTCTGTGCTGTGTGCCCACGGCAGGGGCTGTGGCTGCTCGCAGTGCGCCCCTGAGCTGCCCCTTCTCTCTACTGGCCCAATATATCCATTTTTCACCCCAGAGCTGGGTTTTACTTGGGGAAGTGCCGAGTTTCCCTCGGAAAGAGGCTTCCCGCGTGGGATGCACCGTGCGCGTGGCCGTGGCAAACGGCCCGACCCCATTTGCCTCCGGCCGCTGAATAGAGGCGCTCTCTGTCCTCCTCCCCTCGCTCGTGAGTAATTGGAGCGCGGCGAGGGGCTGGCGCTTGCTGTCCCCTCCGCTTCCTTGGGCAGGGAAGCCAAAGCTTGCAGGACGGTCACGGCTGCTGCGTCTTTGCGTCTTCTTGTTCTCGTGGATCCTGCAAATAGCAGCTTTGCAGGGGAGGCTGCTAAAAATCAGGCTTAATAACTGGGCCCGGCTGGTCCAGGAGCGGGCAGTGAGTGCAACCTGTGGCCTGAGCTCCTCCAGGATGTAGGACACGTCCCTGCTGTGTGTCCGGTGGCACTTTGGATGCCATGACATGAGCGCATTCCTGGAGCTGGAGCAGTGGCAGCACCAGGATCGCTGCTCCGCACCTGGCAGCCCTGATCTGCTCTGTGCCCATCGCCAGCCTCAGGGGGCTCCTGAGCCTCGATGCTCCATGTGCTTTGATCCTGGCTTTCCCCTCTTTCCAGAGGGAAAAATAATCTCCAAATCCTTCACCTCCGCGCTGCAGGGAGTTTAAGACATTGGCTTGAGATTAACACCAGCAAGCGTGGGCTGTGCCCAAGCAGCCTTGCGGGGAGCTCGGGCAGAGGCCGAATTGAGGAAGGGTCTGGGGAAGGAATGGGAGGTCATGGAGGAGCCTGATGGCTGCAGCCTTTTTCTGCTGCCCTTGGCAGCCACTCGCTCGGGTGCCCATAGCGCCCTGTGCAGCACTGCAGGGTAATGTCCCACCTGTGGAAACTGGGGAAGAAATCCTCACGGATGGGCGCTGCTAGGTTAATAACAAATGGCATCGGGTGTTCGGACCCATGTTGCCCGATGCAGGGCTCTTGGGTACCTGGCAGTGTCCTCCGTTGTCCCCCCATGATGATACAAAGAAGGTGTTAAATACAAAAAGAAATCCAGCAAAACCTTCCTAAAATGCCCAACTCACCCTTACCAAGAGCAGATGTGTGGGCACCTCTGAACATCTGCATTTCCCTTTGCTGTTTTAAATGCCAGAATGTGGCTGTCCCAGGGAGCGAGAGCAGCCACACTCAGGGGTGTTCACTCTGAAGCCTACTGTTGTTTTGGGCAGGGGCCGGGCTAGCTACAGAAGCATGATGGGGAAATGAGGCAGCAGCTGTGCCAGCAGGCAGTGGGCCTTAAATCACTTAACTAGCCTTCGGGCTTCTATTCCCCTCTTTGCAATTTTTGATCATTTAATGTGAATTAAGCGCCGTGCCCAAGTATTTTGCTGTCAGTGAAGGAGCCCTAATAAATGCAGCTCACCGGCACGCAGCCGGGTCGGACCTGCTCTCTGCTGGAGACACAGGAGCAGCCGCATCATTTATTGATGCTCAGGTTGTTAATATTGATGTCTGAGTAGCTTCTTTTCCCTGGGGACCGGAGCTCTTTCAGGTGCCGCCGCCAGTTCTCCGGCACTGAAGTGCGCGGAAGAGCCCCCGGGCACGAGTCTCCAGCATCACCCAAATTCTGGTTTTGAGGGGAAAAGTGATTTATTCTGGTCATACCGAGGCCCTTCACAGCTTCCAGCACCTGCATGAGCGTTTCCACTCATGTCTACATGCATACCTATATATAAACACACACACATGCATATATCTATCTTTAAACTCTGCAACATGCGCCTGCAGGATTTCTTTGCCTGCATCCTAGAAGCCCACGGAGGTGATTTTGGGGGCAGATATCTGGTTTCTGGAGGCTTTGGCATCTTTCCTCCAGCTCCAAGCCCCAAGCTGGGCATCCACTAGGACTGGGCAAGTGGCTGAGGTCCCATCCGCTGCTGGAACCCAACATTCCCGATCCCAGGAGCACCTGTGCTGGGCTGAGCTGAGCTTATGTGCTGGCTCTGATACTTGAGACTGGTTTTCTTCCCTCTGGATGTGGCTCGGACAAGCTCAGTTACTTCGTGCCACCTTTACTTTCACTTTGCCGATTGCGCATCCTTTGCCAGCGCGAATGGAGCCCGCTTTGGCTTGGGAATGGTGGCAGGAAAGCAATGGAGCGGGAGCGTGCGCGGGGCTGCACAGCGAGGCAGCGTCTGCATCCAGCTGCTGGGAACGGGGCTGGCTGCTGGAAGCCAGGGGCTGCAAATCCTGCACATAATTATGTGATATTAATAAGGAGTTGCATACCGCTAATAAAAGCACTACAGACGTGTGCTACATGCTAGCATAGCATTAGTGCTTCTGAACTTCTGGTGCTGAGGAATGCTGCTATCGGCCTGGGCAGGGCATTTTAGCAGCAGGGCCTAGTCGAAGGCAGTGATTTGCCTTTGTTGGTGTTGCTTTTTATTTTCTGCTCTGCCTTTCTGAAACGCCTTCCTGCCCGCGGCCGCGTCCCTCGAGCAGATGGAGGGCCCGTTGCGTAAGGAGCAGGCGGCTCCGCTGCAGCGCCGCTGCCTTCGTCAGCAAGGACCGCGTGGCGCTTCGCTCGCGCTCGGAGGATAAAATTATCCTGGGGGTTGAGGCCAACGGAGATCTCGTCTGGATATTAATAACTCGGATCTTAAATTATAGGGAAGTGGAAAGGCAAGATGGAGCGAAGCGTGGCCGTGTCCACGCATTCCCTGCGGCGCTGGGGGCCTCGAGCCACCTCCTTCCCTTCAGCCGTGTGGCCGAGGAGCCAGAGCAGGCGGCAGGAGAGCGGAGTGAGCTCGGTAGCGAAGGCCCATTAGGACTCGCTGAGCTCCCAAGGCACCGGCTAATGCAGTTCCCTCCAAAAGGAGGAAATAAATTATTGAGGCTTTGGATATCCGAGAGGGCTTCTGCTCGTGGAGGCCGCACTCGCCCTTGGGAGCAGAGCGGAGCTGGCGGCGGCCCGTGTTGTGGGTCATGTTTCCCGCAAGGTGTTGGGCAGATGCTCTGCTCCAAGGGCACATGGAGAGCGGCTCCTCCATCCGTCCCTTGGGGAGAGACGGGACGAGGAGCTCGCAGTGAGCAGGGCCGGGATGCACTTGCTCGCTTCCTTGTGCTCTCGCACCTCGTGGCTCTGCCTTGGCTTGCAGGCGCATCCATCACGTTCAACGTGCAGGAGCCCTTAGTGGAAGCCAAAGAGTTTGGGTGTTTGGGGAGGCAACGGGAGGGATGGGGAGAAGCGCCGGCTGGCAGGAGCTCGCACTGGAGGAAGTCAGGAACGGCACTTGGAGCCGTGGCCGCGACAGGGCCAGGAGGAGCATCGGCTCCTCCACAAGTGACTGAGCAGGCCTTAAACTCCATCAGTTTCGGGTGCTTTCCATCCATCCTGATACCCTGAACCAGAACTGTGGTTTGAAAAATGCTAACCGCACAAGCCGTGCGCTCTGAAAGCAAGCAATGCTTGCAGGCAATGGAGCAAGCAGCCTTGCTCATGGCACGCGTCACTGCGGTGCTGCTAACGCTCCTTGTGCCCGCAGGACTGAAAAAACGCACCCGGAAGGCCTTTGGCATACGCAAGAAAGAGAAGGACACTGACTCCACGTAAGCGCCTGCACCGGGAATTGTGTCACTGGATTGTGGTGTGAGGGACGTGGGGGCAGATGCTACTGCCAAGCTGGTGGCGACGTGACGCTTGTCCCCCACTGGGTTGTCCTGTGATAAATGCCATCAAACTCTCTCCCCTTGTGGGCCTAGGGGCCGCAAAAAGGGTCTGTGGGAGGGGAACGGAGCGGGGGCATGGAAGCAGGGTGGGAGCTGTTGGAAAACCTGGGAAAGGTGATGCAGGAGCAAAGCCCATGTGGGCACTTGGGACCCAGAAGGTAGAGGAGCAAATTCCGACATGGGAGGGTTTGGGACCTAACGCAGCTCCCATTTTCTGCCCTTTGCAGCGGGTCGCCAGACAGGGATGGAATCGTAAGTACTGGGGGGGCTCTGCCCGACCCGCTCCGCTCGTGCTGGTCCTGCCACACACTATCAGAAATCATCTTTTTTGCCTTTTAAAATCCCACTTTACTAAGAAGTTATTTTTAAATCAGTGACATACTCAGGGTTTTCTACCAAATTAACATAACTAAAATAGTGGCAATGCAGAAAACCTGTTTTTATGTATATATTTAATTATAGACATGTATTTAAATGTGCGTGTATCCACTCAACAAACCCCGCGTGAGCACAGGCTGGTGCGATGCTCAAGTAGCTGCTCCCCCATCCTTGTCTTCCCCTGCGATACCCAAGCTGGACTGGATCCTCTGTGCAAGGGCTTAACCCAAAACAGCTGAATAGCCCCTGTGCTTTCCATATGGCTTTTGATTTTCTTGTATTAAGAAAATAGGGGTAGCTGTGTTGTGAAGTTGTGCTGTTTTTATTCACGCCTTTTGGTGTAAGCTCACCGGTAGCATCAGGGCCGTGTCTCCCGCGGCCGCTCTGCTCTAACCAGGGCTCCGCTCAGCAGGCAAGGAGAGAAATAAAGGCAAAATGACCATGTTTTGGCACATGGAACCCAGGGCCCCGTCCTGCCGCTAAGCGCAGCCCCCTTGCCAACCCTGTAGAAATTAGCTGAGTTAAATTAGCCCCCTTGGCCCCCCTTAACACTGTTTCTGTGCAGCCCGGCCCCAGTCCGGGCCCCAGCAAGCCGGAGGGCGCCGGAGGCGACGGGGTAAGGAGCCGCGCTCGCCTCCCCGGGGCCATGCGATAGATAGCGAGCAGTCCCTGGGGGTCAGGCCCAATGTGAGGTTCTGCCCGGCGCTGGTCCGTGTGTTTAGTACAAACAGAGCTTAAAAGGAACAGACATAAAGGCCCCCAACCCACCCCAAATGCCCCAAACAGCTGTGAGCTGTTGCATGTCGCACGAGAGAGTCTGAGGTGCACCAGCTCTGCGGGCTGGTTGACCCCGCTGCAACCAGCACCAGCGTCCCCTGTAGCCCAAATGGATATTTTATTTATTTATTTAAAGTTATCCTTTCTCGGTGGGATCATCAGATTGCTCTTCCCGGTGCTCTTCCTGGGATGGCTCTTCCCTGGGTTGGGCTGATGCGCATCCCCAGGCGCGCGGGGGGACAGCGGCTGCCCCTGTGGCCCTGGCTTTGACCTGGGACGTTTTCTCTTCCCGTGTGCCGCAGAAGAAAAGCAACGGCGCCCCGAACGGCTTCTACGCCGAGATCGACTGGGACCGATACGTAAGTGCACGGGAGCTCGCGCGGGCAGCGAGCGCTCTCTTGATTATTGTTATCCCTAATTCCCCTCTTCCCTGCCGTGCAGAACTCGCCCGAGCTGGACGAGGAGGGCTACAGCATCCGGCCGGAGGAACCGGGCTATATCCTTTACTGCAAGCCAAAGCTTGCAACAAGGTCTCTTAATAACAATAATGTTAGTTACGATTCTTATCCCCCCTCTCCTTTGCCATGGGCCATTATTGTGTGTCTGGGCTCCCAGAGGCGATGCAGTGGTGGCTCCCTGCCCCGGGTGGGGGGACGTGAGGGGCCAGCGTCCCCGTCCCTTCTGAGAGCTTCTTTAACGGCAGCCCACCCACCAAGGGAAAGCACTTCTACTCGTCCAGCGAGTCCGAGGAGGAGGAGGAGGCCCACAAGAAGTTCAACATCAAGATCAAGCCCTTGCAGGCCAAGGACGTCCTCAAGAGCGCAGCCACCGTGGATGAGCTGAAGGCGTCGATCGGCAACATCGCGCTCTCGCCGTCGCCCGTGGTGAGCGCCGGGGATGGCGTCGCGCCAGGGAACGAACCTATTTCTGTGTTACCCTTATAGAAAAGAACTGATTTTTTGTGCCTTTTTTTTCCGCTTTTTTCTGCATCCTCCTAGAGGAAGAGCCCGGTAAGAGACCAGTTTTTCTCCTGTCCCGTTGTTAGGCACAGATTTACCAGCGCCTGCGCGTCTGCAGCCGCGCGGTCCCAGCTGGCCGGTGCCCAGCAAGGGGAAGGCAATCGCGGTGATGGGCCCCGCCGTGCACGGCACAAAGCGCACCGCGCG